TTCATGTTAATTGAACTAAGATATTAAACTAAATATAGCAAAAAAACATAAATTATTTTCTATTACTGTTTCTTTCATTTCACATTAAATGTAATATCTTTATTCAGATTCAAAATTTTCTATTCTCAAGTTTCATATTTTTAATTATCTTCAAAATTGGTGAGGGTTTTGCATTTATAATTTTTTTCTCATTTATTATGCATCATAAATTTAAAATTTTATTTTATGTTTGCAAAAAAAAAAAAAGGACTGAAATAATTTTTTATATAAGTTGTATAAAATTGTTTTTGTAAAGTTTGAAACTTAGTAAAAGGGAAAACAACTGATATTTAAATAAGGGACTAAAAATAGATGTGGAAGTATTGCATATATTTGACATGTAACTATGTCAAATATATGCAATACTTCCACGCAGAGCAGCGTGACATTGATAAACAGATTTCGAAATGGTTAGAGTAACAAAGGATATGCCCTTTATCCATTTTTTGCAGCAATTCCACTTTTTGTTTAATGGACTTTGAAACAGACTTTTCCTTTGTAGATCCTTTACGTATTAGTAAATATATATATCGGAAATTCTATTTGACATAATCGAAAGTTCAAGCTTACTTTTATAAAATTGCTCTAACAGTCTGCAAAAAATAATAAGCCGGATCCAGTTCGAAGATTAAGGAACAACGCAATCTGCAACATTAACTGAATTAGATAATTTTAGCTTAGCTTATACCATCCGTTATACATTAAACGCGTATGCGTAAACATATTATGTGCATGCACACATGCATATTTGCAGCCGTAAAGGTCTTAAGTGCATGCGTCAACGTGACACAGAAAGTTTGTAGCTTTGATGTCCGGATTATAGATTATTCCGGATTATGGGTGTCCGAATTAACGACTTTTGACTGTATAACTTTTTGCCGTCTCTCCAGCAGATAGAAAATTCTTTTATATATATATATATAAAAGTCAGTAAGTTATATAAAAGTCAGTAACTATGGGGTCATATGGAAAGTTCTGTGGTTTTTTCTATGATAAATACAAATGAAGCAATACAAAAATTAATAAAATTTCATTGAATCACATAAGCACTTTTTCGTTTTACAGTCAAAAGTCGTTAATCCAGACTCGTCGGGACTTCGGCGATTCCGGATTATCGATTTTTCCGGATTATAGATCATCAGTTTAAATCTGGTAAGATGGCATGCAGAAATTATAAAATTAAAAATATGGAAACCGTAATTTATGAAATAAAGAACAATTATGATCTAAAGGGTATCAAAATTTACAAAAAAAAAAAAAAAAAAAAAAAAACTTAATGTTTATTTGTTTACTTTATTAAACATTTCTTTCAATGTAAGTTGTTTAAGTTGCTTCATTTTATGTGATAATACTTTCTCTTTAATTCTATAAACAGACATAATTTCTTCTTCAGTTACAAAGTTCTGCTGTTGAAGTCCTATAATTGCTGTGTTGAGAATACAGACTAGTTTGTCAATCGAAATTTTTTCGTTTTCAAAAACCTCTGTGTCACTTTCTTCACTATCGGAAACGAATTATAATGACAAGGAATTTGATTTAGATCATATCAAAGATGGAGTACATCGAGATGAAATACTAAATTTAGTAAGGAATTATAAGCCAAATAAAATAAAAACATCTGCCCTGAAGATAAGGATAGTGCTGACAGATCAACTTCCAATTCATTGCGCGCCGCGGCACCCCCTCCCCCCATCCCTTGCCGCAGAGCAGCGTGACATTGATAAACAGATTTCGAAATGGTTAGAGTAACAAAGGATATGCCCTTTATCCATTTTTTGCAGCAATTCCACTTTTTGTTTAATGGACTTTGAAACAGACTTTTCCTTTGTAGATCCTTTACGTATTAGTAAATATATATATCGGAAATTCTATTTGACATAATCGAAAGTTCAAGCTTACTTTTATAAAATTGCTCTAACAGTCTGCAAAAAATAATAAGCCGGATCCAGTTCGAAGATTAAGGAACAACGCAATCTGCAACATTAACTGAATTAGATAATTTTAGCTTAGCTTATACCATCCGTTATACATTAAACGCGTATGCGTAAACATATTATGTGCATGCACACATGCATATTCGCAGCCGTAAAGGTCTTAAGTGCATGCGTCAACGTGACACAGAAAGTTTGTAGCTTTGATGTCCGGATTATAGATTATTCCGGATTATGGGTGTCCGAATTAACGACTTTTGACTGTATAACTTTTGCCATCTCTCCAGCAGATAGAAATTCTTTTATATATATATATATATATATATATATATATATAAAAGTCAGTAAGTTATTTGTAAAGAAGTTATCAAGGTGCTTTTGACAGTCTCCAAAGAAATGAACTTCGGGCGATTCAGAAAATTTGGAAGTAATCTGAAGAAATGAAAATCTGAGGGGTAGGTCTAGTGAATATGGGAACTGACAGAAAACATTCCAACCATATTCAATAAGTCTTTGTCTGACATTTATCAAAATGTGGGGCTGAGCGTTATCATGATGAATAATAATACCTCGAAAATTGGTCTATTCTAGGCAACCTGTTTCAATTTTTGTTTTTAAAACTTTCATTTTGGTACAATATTTTTCTGAACTTATTATCTGATTTAGTGGTAACAATTCTTAGTGTATAATTCCTTTGTAGTCCCAACATACACGAAGCATTACTTGTTTGGGATGAAACCCATTCAGTGTTACCAAAGGAGGTTCTTTTGGCTAATTACTTGATATTTTTCTTCAAACATTATTGTACAATATCCACTTCTTATCTCCAGTAATGAGTCATTTAAAGAAAAGGAGCTTCTTTATTATGCTTCAGCAAAAAATCACATGCCAAAACCCAATATATTCTGTTGTGTTAAATTAGGGGTACCCATATATTGTAGGAACTTATGTACCCAGTTTTCTTCATTTAATCACCTACTATGCTGGAACAAAAATTCTGCCATGGCATATGTTAGAATAATGCAACCTGAGCAGAAAAGACCATATGTAATCATCTACTTTGATCAACGTCATCTCTTATCAGTATTAGTAAAATAATTAGAAAATGCACTTGGATTTGTAAAACTGCTTAACTTTCCTGATGTTCCAATAGATGAACCTATGTCAAAAACCATCAAAGTTTCATTTTTGATATGTTATTATGCTAGAAAATTGAAGAAAAAGTTTGGTAAGCATAAACATTAAAGACTGGCAGTGTTTTTCAAAGAATGAAACAATCTATTGTAATCAGCATGATATGTAAGTCTTTCTGTATCATCCTAATTACAACAGAATAAAAACACAACTTTCTACAAAGTAAAGGCAGAGGGAATAATTTTATCTTTAAGTGCAGAAATCCTTAAAGCCAAAATTGAATCTTATTAGTATTTTCAAATAGTTAAAGCCTTTAATTAATTTAGTCGCATTAAAAAATTTAATTCCAAATTTTGCCCCTTTTAATGTACAAATTTTGACATTCATTCATTCTCATGCTATTATGTCGTAGACATAGAAAGAATGTAAAACCTGCAATATCTCAGTACACTGTTATAATATAAAAATGACCAAATTATTTTTAGCAGATGCATTCGTTACAGATGTTTTAAATTTGTCTGTGATTTTTTTTTTTTTTTTTTTTTTTTTAAGTCTATAGTCTATATCTGCAGATTTTTAAAAACTTTTCTTTTAGTAAAGTATTGTAGTTAATTGTTTAGTATTCCTATCCTTAAAAAACGTTATCCATTATAATTTCTATGTAATTTTTTCCCTTTAAAAGGTAGTTATTTTTTAAAGAAATTTTTTATCTTAAAAATTATTAATTGCATTTCTGCCCATCTTTATATATGCCTGTGTTGCAATGTACTGTACATTCCTCTTGTAAATTTATAAACAATTTTTTATTATTGGCATTCATTTATTTAATCCCTTTTCATTTTATATAAAGTAAAACTATACATGATTTCTTAGCTGCCTGCTTTGTCATTTTCTTAAAAAATTTACCTTTCTGTGCAAAATCTAAAGGCAATTCTTACATTTTTCAGTGAAGGCTGAAAGACATTCAGCATGGCTGTAAAATATTATAGCATATATGCATGAATTACATAAGAAAAAGTCTTCACTAGTAATTGTTGCTTGATTCAATTATTATATCATAATTTCCATAATAATGTTTTCTGAATTGTTTTGAGTGAGCATGCTCTTGAATGAATTGAAAAAGGTAACTAATTGCTATTAACAAGTTGTTGTCTTTCTCTCAGTTGAATAAATTCTAAGTTTGAAAATGTAATGAATATTCACATAATTTTATCTGTACAGACTGTATTAATTAATCATAATTTTATCCTTTGCAAAAAATTACCTCAAAATTTTTAAGAAGAATTAATGCTCTGAGAAGCATGACCATCTTTATCCAGTTATGAGATTTATTGTGTATCCCTTATTATTCAAAATATATTTTCTTATTATTTTAATAATAAATGTATCTTAATAAAAGAAAATTATGGAGATAAAAGCTAAAATAAATAATTATACAAATTTAGCTAATAAATGCTGTTTAAATACTATTTATTCTTCATAAGCAGATCCAAAAAGCTCTTAACACAAATATATTATCATTAAGTAATTTTTAAATGGCATTCATTTTACATTAAATACACAAAAATGGAAAAAGTGAATACTTAGTAATTAAAAGAATGGCAAAATGTCGTACAGATTTAGCTTGTAATAATAATAAGTATCTCATTTTGTAGACATTTTTTTTCAAAATTAGTAATTAAAAGAAAACCCTTTTTCAATTCATGATTTATATTGGTTTAATTTCAGTCTTAGGCATGTCAGTGAAAAGTTTTGCTATAGATGACTAATTTTTTTATTAATAACTTTGCTAATAAGTAAATTGTGTAGTTGCTTTGAATGTGCATTTTAGTTAATTTTTTTAATTTGAAATGCTGTGTATGTATGTATGTTTCCATTTTTCTCTCCTTTCAACAGCTGAGAGTAGTAAGAGCCTTTAAGAGCACATTGGAAGACATGGAAGAAAGACGTAGTGTACATAGTTTACATAGTTTACACAGCTTGCGTAGTTCCCGTAGTCACCCCAAGCAACTCTCTGACATTAGTTATATAGATGAAGATGTGAAAACCCCATCTCCCAATGATTATCCTTATGACATGGCTGACTCTCAAAAAAATGCCATCTATACTAACAACTCGATGCGGAATATGAATCACAACAACACTCAGTTTATACCACCTCCCCAGAGTAATTCTTCAGAAAGTGAAACTCATGAAACTGCTCCCTTGATGATTCGAACACCTACTCACCAGAATCGAACCTCCAATCAACTTCAAGGGACACCATCCAACTCCCCAACCACCACCACAAGTATTACTCCTGTCAACTCCTCATCTCCCTCTTCCAGCACATCACTGACAACCAGCAACAACCGAGCAAATGTGACGAGCCCTGTAGCTCGTGGTTATCATTTGCTGGTTGAACCAACTAAAATTCATGAAACCAGCATCTGATTGAGTGTTAGTGGAATATTTTACTTTGCCTGAAAATGATTGGTCACAAATTCTATTTAAGAATTCAGTTTATAGCAGTTCTTCCTCTGAACTGTGTCAAGCTTCAAAATGTTGAATGTCACAGGCTTCTAATACTCCAAGTTCAATGGAAAATAGACATTCATTTTTAAAAGTGAAAGAGAAAGAAGAAACAATGTGTATGAAAATCATTTTACGAACTTCATTCATCTTCACCGTGGCATCTCAGACTTTTTTTTTTTTTTTTTTGGTATGCCTTTGCTGTGGACAAAGAATAGAACTACTATTATGAATAATTAATATGTCTTTTTCTTTTTTTTACGTGTTTGATTTTTAGATATTTTAATGGATGTATTATGGTAGCTGTAATTTAAATTCTTCCACCGAGTTTTAACTTTGCAAGCAGCATAAGAGAAACAGTATGCATTTAGCTATTAAGTTTTACCAGTTGCTTGTGATATTTGTTATTAATGTCATAATATATATATATATATATATATATATATAATTCTTTATATATATATATATATAAAGATTTATATATCTTACATATATATAACTACAGAATGGATTATTTATTTTACCTCTGAGGGGAGGGAATTCTGAGACAAAATTTGATAACTTCTTTTGTATAACTCACTATGAGAATGTGAGGAATATATATTGAATTTTAAAATTTGGAGAATTTGTGATATGTTTCATAATTAATTATTGTAAAATTAACCCATTTTTGTGCAATATAATTATGTACTTTGTGATTACTTTATTTTTGTTGCAGTGCATTTTGTAAAATGAAAACATTTATAGTTCGTATATTCTTTCTTTTACAGATTATCATACCTTTCCTTTTTTAATCAAATAATAATTTTGTGATCCCTCAAAAGCTAAAGTTATCTTAAAATCTAAATTTTAAGACATAAGTATATAGGATTCTTAAATCCATTTGGATTTTTTAAAAAAGACATATTAAAAAGTATTTGATTATACTTGATTCTCTTAAATTCAGATTAAGCCAGCAAAAAATATTTAAAGATTTTTGGTGTGTTCATAATATAGCATGATCTTTGGTTGTTATAGATTTCAGGTTTAATAGACTTTAAGAAGGTATTTTGCCTGGCATTTGCATTTTAAAAGATGTATTGATACATTCATTTGAAAAAAATGAAAACAAGTATTTGGATGTTTAGATCTAAATGCTAGCTAAAATGCACAATTAAAACCAAATTTTGGTTTAACATCAAAAGCATGCAATAATTTTGTCTACGTTGTTTGTGCTATACTTAAAGAACATTTTTCATTCATTTCATATTTAAACAAAAGTGTATTGTCTTTTTCAAGCGTAATAAAAAAAATCTAATTTTAGTCTTAATTCTTGTATATTTATTTCAAGGTTTTTGTTGAAAATAATTACACTTTATGATTTTTTATTATCAGTAATACTTATAATTTTGGTTTGTAAGTTAAACTATCAACCTTTAGGATATAATCTGAAATCTGGTATGAATTGTACTTAACAAATAAGATTAATCCATGGATTAAAAAATTTAATTGAAACATCAGTGTTTTTACAGATTAATTGCATACAGTGCTTTTTTTTTTTTTTTTTTTTTTTTTTTTTTTTTTGTAAAATAAATCTAGTTAAAATTAATTAAATTGTAAATTTTAATTTATTTTAACTAGTTTTTGTAAAATAAATCTAGGTTTGAATTTTTAGGCTTTTTGTTTTTCTGCTTCACCCCCAAAGTAACAAAACTTGAAAAAGAATTTTTTTAGTGCAGTCTTTTAAAAGTCTTTGGTATTCATAATTGTGTTTTAATTATTTCTGATGTTTAATTTATTTATCAGATTCGTAAATGCACTTTTTTTTTAATTAATGCACATACTGAACTGTAGGAAAGTATTTAGAATCTCAAATGGAATTATTACTGATAAAAATCACTGCAGGCACGAGAACTTTTGATTTCTGTTTTTCTTTGACTTTTAAGTATTTTTAAATTATATGCTTCCATACGTTATTTAGAAAGTAACCCACAGCAGTCGCTTCAAAAAGTAGAACTGAAATTTGTTCTCGGTAGAAATGGGGTAGTAGATAATCTTTTGATTGCTACATAAGTTCTTACTGTCCATTTTGTAGGCATATTCATGAATTTATGAAAGTGACTGCTTATATTCATAAATTGTGTGCCTGTTCAAAAATTTGAATTAAAAAAATCATGAAAATGTCAACGAATGTGTTTTGTATAAGAAAATTTGCATGTATGTGAGTTGCCTTTGGTCATATTCCTCCTCCCCCCCCCAGGAAAAAGGGAAGGGAAATTTGATAAGTATGTAAATGGTAAAGATTATATTTTCAAATTGAATTTAATTGTTTAATTTTTATTCCTTAATTATATATTTCATAATAATCAATAATTAGAAGTATTTTTATTGGAAATAATAAAATAACAAAGGATTACAGCAGCAGTATATCAAAATATTTTGATATACTCTGCTTTGTAAGCTATTTGTACAATTAAATATTGATATTGATCCTAACCTACAGATATAAAACGATCACTTTATAGTTTAGTTTGCCAGAAATTTCATTGTGAGATTTTTTTGCATAAAGCATTTTCATATATTTAAAAAAAAAAAAAAATTGTGAAATACACTTTTCATTTAAATGTTTCAGTGGTTAGTTCTTAATATTTGTTTTAAAAAGATTTTGGAAGTATAATGGAGACACATGAGAGAATCATGTAAAATTTATTATACAATCTGAAATTATAGTATGCTGCACTTTTGTAAAATTAATAGTTGGAAAATTTTCAAGTAGTCTTAACTGAAGGTTAGCAACTGTCAAGTCCTTAGTAGACATGAAAGAATTTATCATTGTTGGTTTCTACACCGTAAGAGGAATTTATGTAGTATTTCTTGTTCTTCCTGTACAAGAGGAAGTATTCAGAGTATTTGATAAAATTCCTAATAATGCTGGGGATATATGTGTTTCATGTATGTAATTTTTATCCAAATCATGGATGTCAGACACCCATGTAGTTAAAAAAAAAAAAAAAAAAGAGAAAACATCTGATATGATTCAGATTTTAATTCGTGCTAGAGGGTTAAGTATTTTTATGCTCTTGTTGAGCTTGCAATTTGTCCATCTGTTCTTGGATTTCTTCCTGTTGATCAGTTATTATTCAGTTCTCTCATACAGTGGAAAATGATAAGTATGCATGCCAATGTGTAGGTCAGTGGATGTTGCAGCATTCCTTTATTTTGTTCATGGGCCCCTCCCCTTTTTTTCTGTTCATCATATCTGCATTTAATTTTCTTAATGAGATGACCTACGTAACTTTTTTTATGTCTCTTTAAATTTATTTGTTTATATGAAATTCAAATTATGAAATTTTTAGAAATAACCTATTAGAATTTCCAATAGAGTATTACTGATGCTGTACATTTTATTAATAGTTCCAATATTCTTTCCTTAAAAATAATACATGGTGATAGCATTTGGCATTAGCATCTCTTATTTGAAATGCGATGTGAAGCAGTGCAAATGCGAAGATCAAGATTAATAGCCTCTTTGGTGCTAATAAAAGATTTCATCCTTGAGGGAAAATTATTAAAGTCTTAAGAAAGAAATATAACTAGATTTGATGAATACATATTTTCTTTGCCGTTTCGAAATTATTACCTTTTCAGTTATAAACTGCTGCGATTATTTTCGGTAAAGATAGGCATTGTTATAAAAGTATCTTCTGAGGATATTTTATTTTTAAGGAAGGTGAGAGATAATATAACCATTCTTAGTTTTTAAAAATGCATCATGCATTTCTTTGCATTTATGTTCAAATAATATTTTTTAAGCTCTTAAAAAGTAGAGGCACTATTTCTAATGCAACTTAAAAAGATAGGAGCTCCACAATACTGAGCATTTAATTCATATTACAGTAATCTATGTGTGTATGCATTAATATAATATTTAAATATCTAGTAAAGAACTATGTTGCAATATTATTAATAAACATTGATTTTTAGTCTTTTTAAAATTACCGATTTATCTCCTGTATGATTTTAAGTTTTTAAAGTTGTATAAATTATGAATTATTTTATGAAGTATGTGTTTCTATTTGTAGCTTATAAAAGTTAATTTTCGTTAGTTCTGTTTTTCTTTTAAATGGTGCTCCAACTGCATCATTTATCTGTTAACCATCAAAAAATGTGTTCATTTTTTAGTCAATTAAGTTTTCTATATTATTTTAATAATTTGTAGTTGTTAAATTCTTACAAAATAAAATAAAGATTGAATGAATGTAAAGGAACTACTGAAAATGTAACTTATGTATACTAATTATATCTTAACATTAATAAAATCTTCTATGCTGTTTTTGGCTAAAAAAAATTAACTATACATATATTTGGTCATTATATATTTATAAAGATTATAGAAATTAGATTATGCATTTAAAACATATCTGGAATACATGCAGATTTCAGTATATGACTTGAAAAGGCTTAATTTTATTAAAAGAGCTTGTTGGTTAGAAGCTGAAATGTAAATAATTATTTATAAATACATACTGATTCTAATTCAGTGTATAATTTATAGGATGTGTTTAATCGTGAAAAAGAGCTTTTCTTTTATTTTACTGTGTATATGGCTTATACATATAGTATCTGAAATTTTAATGAGAGATCTGAAATTTTGTGATAAAAAAAAGGCTACCTATGAAATGTTGAACTGATTCAAAAATATTTTTGTACTGTTACTTTTATAAAGTTGTGCTAAAAATGATTGCTTTTGAAAAGAAAACTATGGTATTTGTTGCATATGTGCTAATCTAATTATTGTATTTAAGGGCAGGCATTCATTACATTAAGCTGATATTAAATTTTTTATGCATTTTTTAATCCACAATAAATCTTAAATGCTATCTGTTTTCATAAAAGGAAGACTGAATGTTTCGTTAATGATCTTATAACTCAACATTAATATTTTACCCGTAATCAGAAAATTTATGTATTAAGTTTAATGTAAAACTTAGGTTTTAATAATGTTCATAATATCTTTCATTCTATGTGAAAAAGTATTTTCCAAATAAATGTTTAAATTCTACATTTTGATCTATTAAATAAAATTAAAACTTTCTATGGCAATGATATGTTAGTTATAACGTGGACAACGAAATAAAGATCTTTTTCTTTATGCATTTTGTATTAAAATTCTTATTTTGAATTCCTATGATTGAAAAAAAAATCCTCAATTTGTGTTTAACATAACTGAGGAAGACTAATACAGAGTGGTGGTGGGGATATTCTTTTGTTATTTCAACTTACAGAGAATATTTCATTGGGAAAACTATTTTACTTGAATGCTGAATGAGAATTTTTTTATGTGAAATTATATGTAGAATCTTAAGATACATTAACATAAAATATAAAGACTTTTTCCTTGTTTCTAGTACTGGAATGATTAAAAAAAAAAAAAATGTAATAAAGGCACACTGACTTTAAAATTAGGTAACACCTCTGTGCATTTTCAAAGAATTTCGTATTTTTAGGAGTTTTGATTCATTGTGATTATGGCAAAGCACACAAGTGCTATTTCTCTAATGGGAGGGGTGCTTTTGTGGACGACTGTGTAAGGAAAACTGGCTTGTATCCATGTTACACATGGAGAAAACCATGAAAACACCATGCAGCCAGCCTCTTCACCTGGAGTCAAATCCAGGTCAAACTATCGGCATTCAATGATTAACTCCTCAGCCCTTGTTGGGTCTACATTTTTAGAAAAAAATAGTTTGCACTGCTTTGTAAAAATGTCATTTAAAGAAAATAAATAAGTAAGAAAGATGTAGACAAGTGTAGCATTATCTATTGAGCAAAGTGGAAAAAGAAGTAAAATTAAGAAGGTAAGCTATTTATGCTTGATAGATCTTATTACAGTACTTTAATTATTGCTTCAATTGTTAGCTTCTATTAATTTCTATGTTTTTGTGATTAAATTATTTTATTTTGCTATTAATGCTAAATGCTTATATATGTAGTATTTGAAATTTTAATAAAAGATCGGAAATTATGTGATGAAAAAAAGCTCTCTATTGAATATTGGCTAATTTAAAAATAGTGTTTCTGCTTGTATTAATTTATTAAGCTTTATTATTATTATTGCTATAATCATTTCTTTTATTGATTTAGTTTTATTGCATCTATTTATGCTATGAAATTCAGGTAAAAGACACAAAAAATTTGTTCCTTGAGTAATAGTGGCCGGTATTTGTTCTTAAAATGCATATAGCTTTTTTCTAAAAATATATGTCAATGTAAATTTAATTTACTCCGCTAATTGTTGAAAATAAAAACTTTTGTCCAAGAGCATTCTGAGTTGATATTTGAATATTAGAATAACTTTCCCGTAATGCTAATTTATTCATAATTTATTTATGATGGATTGAAAGTATTTATCTTGGATATTATATTTGTTTTTACAATTTTATTAATTTTTCTATTATCATGCAAATTGTTTAAATTTCAGCTGGAATTCAATTTAGTATAAAATTCAGAAATATTATAATTTACCAATATGAAATACACTCACTTCCAAAAATTAAGCACGAAGATGTAAAATGCAAAAAAAAAAAAAAAAAAAAACAACAAATACTGCTTTGATTGACACAAAATTCGGCAGGAAAATATGCATAAAACAAAATCAATAATTATATACAGAAATGAAAACAATATTAAATTTTTGTAAGTTATCAGATAATGATATACTGGAGACTTAAACAGAATTATGTAAACTGAAAATAAACAGCATAAAATGAAAAAAAAAAAGGACATTAATAGGGTATGTGATCCTCTTCATCTGTATACAAAGTTTACACCTTGTGACCATGCTTTCAATTAGGTGGTCAACCACTTCAGAATTAAGCAATCGCCATTCTTCTTGTAGAGCAGTTTCCACCTCAATAAGAGTAGCTGGAGGCGGGAAACGTGAAGATACAGCACGGCCAAGAGCATCCCAAAGATTTTCAATGGGATTAAGGTTGGGCGAATATGCTGGCCACGTCATACGTGCAATCCCTTCACTCTCCAGGTAGTCATCAACGATGTCAGCTCTTTGGGGACGTGCGTTATCGTCCATTAAAACAAAAATAGGGCCAGCTGCTGAGCGTACAATCTCACAATGGGTTCTAGGACTTCATCTCGATACCGGACAGCCATCAAAGAACCCTTTTAAAGATGTGTAGGTCCTTGAGGTATCCTAATGAAATCCCTGCCCACACCATAATGTTTCTGTCTCGGAATACGTGATGTTCGGTGATGTTTTGGGACTGATTGCGTGTTCGTTGTTCATGACATTGCCCCAGTCAGATACATGGCATGTTTCTGGCACCACTGTAATCGTGCCCGTCTTGATTGGACAGATAGAGGAACACAAACTTCGAGGTACGAGCGTACAGACCATTCATATGTAATCTTCGGTATACAGTAGCTGCAGATATCGTCTCACCAATGGACGCTGTAACCATAGAGGTCACACGTGTGGAGGTCGCTCTGCGATTCCTCTTGGCTACAATAGCAGTATATCGATCTTCTACGGGGGTTTTAACCCTTGGGTGACCGGCTATTGGTCTTCGTACAACTGTGTGTGTGGTTTGGAATTGTTTCCATAAACGTGAAATTACAGAATGATGAACGCTGAAGAAAAGAGCAACATCTGTGATTGACTGTCCTGCTTCAATGCGCCCCACAGCACTCCAGTGCTCAGAATCTTCCATTCATCTTCTGGAACTCATAGAAACACATATGTCTTAAAAACAAATTGTACGAAAGTTTTAAACATCTTTTATCAGCACTTACTATGAATTTCTGTAACTCAAGTTCCAAGTTCCGATGAATATGCTGCGAATAGCATGCATGCTGCATGCTTTGTTCCAGCTGTCTTGAAATCATGCTTCAAAGAGCGCATCAGGTAAGCGAATGTTGAACATAGGTTCGGGGGACAAGCTAGTTGGTGAAAGTTCTGTAACATGAAAGCGCGATTGGCTATTACCTAACATATTTGCATACTTCCACCTCTGCAGCGAATTGCATCCTTTTCAGTTCTGATTGGCTTCCGGAAATTAGCATTTTCCTCTTCGTGCTTAACTTTTGGAAGTGAGTGTATTTAATTTAGTGTAATTTGAAAATATTAATTCTCCAAATGGCTAAGGAATTAGTTCCAAAAACACAAATTTCCCAAAACTGCCATGGGAAAGAAGTATTTTCTTGACTATAATACCAAAATATCTGTGTTATTTTATAGCAGAATTATTTTTCTCCTTTAATATACTGCCTTAACGTTTTGAGCGTATTACTAGATGCACATATACAATAAAATCCTAACTGCACTAAAGAGCCAAAACATTATGACCACCTACATAATGCTTTGCATGACCTTTGGCTTGCAAAACAGCTGCAACTCACCTAAGCATGGATGCCACAAGTTCTTGGTAGATGACTACTTTGTACCAAACGTCTAAGTAGTGGTCACACAAAGTCGAGATATTCCGACATAGTGGTGTTTGAGCTTTGAGCTGCCGCTTCATAACATCCTAAATGTGCTCTATCGGGTTTAGATTTGGCAAGTTAGGTGGCTAGGACATTATTGAGATTCGTCTTCATGTTCTTCGAACTATTCCAGCACAATTCGAGCCTTGTGACTTGGCCGTAGTCCTGCTGAAAGATTCGATTTCCATTTGGAAAGACAGACACCATGTAAGGCTGCAACTGATCTGCAGTTATGCTCAGATATTCTGCAGCTTTCATAGTATGTTTTACCGCAACTAAGTGTCCCTGAGCCACCCATGATAATGTCCTCCAAAGCATAATACTGCCACCACCAGCCTGTGTATGACCTGTTGTATGAGAGGGAACAACTGTTCGCCTGGAAGATTGCGTACCCTGACATGACCATCAACATGATGAATGAGAAATTCTGATGCATTCGACCAGGCAACTGTCTTCCACTTATCCATGTTCTAGTCTTGATGTTCCTGGGCTTACTATAGGCATAGTTGGCAATGACACTTGACTGTAGTCCTGGGCTCACTGTAGGCATAGTTGGCAATGATACTTGACTATAGTCCTGGGCTCACTTGTAAGCATAGTTGACAATGATGCTTGACAGTAGTCCTGGGCTCACTGTAGGCATAGTTGACAGTGATGCTTGATAGTAGTCCTGGGGTCACATGTAGGTGTAATTGACAGTGATGCTCGACAGTAGTCCTAGGTTAAATGTAGGCATAGTTGACACTGACAATGGTCACAGTCACATGAGTGGGATGTCTGCTGCACAGTCCCATACCCAACAGTGATCGCTGAACTATGTGTTCTGAAACACTTGCACTTGGAGCTACACTGTATTGGTCTGCCAGCTGAGCCACTGTCTGATACCAATTTTGCTGTTTTATTTATGTTATGAAGCATTTTTTTGTTATGAAGCATTTATTTATGTTATGAAGCATTTTTAATTAATAATTTACTAATGAAAATTATGAGGTTTTTTGAAAAGTGGAAATAAAATTCTTTTGAAAGCCTGCATTAAAGGTGAAAAAACGGCATATATTTTTCAACAAAGTAGGAGCATTAATTTTGGAAAAAATATAATTTTGGAATCAATAGAATAATTACATTTTGGAAAAACGGATTTGGCTAATAATATTAAAACGGAAATTATGACATTGTTGGGTTGTGGATGTTTCACAAGCAAATACATGATGTAATATTATCATGTATTAAAATAATGCTGGATTAAAAATTAAAGTGCTGTATTGATAAGCTTATTTGTAAACTTGTAATGTATCTGAAATGTAATTAAAATTTTTCACTTTTCCTTTGCTGTTGTGTTATTGATACTCTGAAACTGCACCTTATGCAAATGAAAAGTAACATTACTGGCTGTATATTTTACACCCCCTTCCCCCCCCAAAAAAAATGTTCTATATCTCTTGTTCTACTGAACCTTTTTCCTGTCTTGAAAGCGAGACTTAGAATATATATTAGACCTATGCTGTTCTAACATAGGTATTTTGATACAAACCGCACTTCTTCTGAAATAACATACCCATTTTTTTTCCGCATTTCGATTCTACGACTTAAATTATTCCGAAGTGCCAAGTTTCTAAAAATTGCATGAGCAGTTTTTAAAAAATTAGCTCTCAAAATTTTACCTCCTCAATGTTAAATGAATTTTAGATGTATATATATTAATATTTCTTTTTATTACTCGTACTTGATTCCTTCTTTCACAGCTCGATATTTAGGTTGAATCCAAACAAAATTTATTATATTTTCTGATTTATTTTTAACTTTTTTGAAAAATGTTTGAATTATAACCTATAAAATTTTTGCCATCAAAGTAGCTGTATTTCTAGGTATACTTGCAGAAAATATGGGTTTTTTTTTTTAAGAATCTCCCAAAGTATACGTAAATTTATATACTGGCGCATTTTGAAATTTGGCTCATTTATTACACGCGATAATAATGCTAAATGTGTTGTTTTCCACTTTGTTAAAAATTATTATAAAGAATGAACGATATCGCTTTTGTTTTCTGTTCATGCACAATAAGAAAAGGGGAAAGGAAAATAGGTTACTGTAAATTAAGAATTTCATCAAGTGAAACTGAAAATGTGCGCCGCCAGTTCTCGAAAACTGAAAAAAAGGTGTGCAAAGATTAATTTTTAAATTTTTCGCCAAGTTTCTTATCAAATTTTACAAAATTTAATATTTGAGCATAATTTAAGTCGTCGAATTGAAATATGGGGGGGAGGGAACTCGATATGATACTTCAGAAAAAGTCAGATTTTTTGTCAAAATACCTATATTAGACAATGCTATATATCCTAAGTCGCTTTTTTGAGACTTGAGAAACCAGCCCAGTAGAACAGGAGATAGTATATATAGTTCCTTCCTCTTTTTTTTTTTTTTTTCCCCCGCAAGTATTCAACTAAAAATATTCACAACTCATTTAGTGAAGAAAAATAATTTAAGCAGTTTTTAATCCTTATTTTGTAGTAGGTAATAAAATTTCAGCAAAAGTATTTGAAATTAAAATAAAGAGGTTATAAATTTAAATTTTGTAAATAACATTTTAGGTCATCTGGCTGAAATAAAGTCTGTGACTATATCAGTAAGACTGACTACTATCAGTAATACTTTGTAGCCATGCCATATTCCTATGTTTATAATTTTTAATGTATATATATATTATATAATGTTTAGATATTTTTGTTCTAAAGTTTATTTTGGTGTAATACAGACAAATGATTTCAGTTAGGTGACATATGCATATAATGAGATTTTTGAAATAAAGTGCCTTTATAAAGAAAACA